AAGATTATTTATATTATATTATGATTGATATATGTATATTAAGTAATTGATAAATATATATTGTTAATATATCTTGAATTTTGGTGATATTTATGTATATTTTGAGAATAATTTATTTGTATTTTTTTTATATTTATGCTAAGAAATATTTAATATATATCCTATAAAATTTGTATTTGTGAAGAACTTGCTAGTTTATCTATAAATAGGTTACTTATTGATGATGTACTCTCATATTACATAGTGGAATTCTTTTTTACTGGTTTTATCTGTGGATATAAACACACTGCCGAACCACGTAAAATATTTATGTTCTTTTCTTTATACTTTTACTTTAGTGTGATTTTGCATGCTTTAGGAATTAATTTTCCTCAACAGGTGATATCAGAGCTCAGGTTTGAGTTGGGTTAGAGAGAGAGAGAATGTACAGATCTACAGATCATATCAGACAGAGGAAACAGAGACGACAATCACTGTGGGGGGCGGATAAGCTCAAATCCGCATGAGGAGTGGCGGTTTTTTAAAGAAGAAGAAATGGTCTCGCGTGTGACTTGGAACCAGAAGATCCGTAGGCAGCGACGGCTGGGTGTCCAGAAGCTCGACGGATCTGCAAAGAGGAAAAAGGAGCCGCAGACAGTTCCGGTTTCGACTAGAAACAAAAAAAGAGATTAGATCTGATTGCAGCTACAGCTGTGCGCGACAGACGGACGGAGAGAAGCCAAAAGAAGCCATTTATGCGTGAAACCGGGGTCGAAGAAGGAAAACGCACGTCGGAGAAGATGAACCAACGCGGCGGCACCCGGTTCGCTTGAGGCTTGTTTTGTAGTGTTTTCGGTGCTTTTTCACTAGATCCGTGTCGGATTCGTCGATTCGCATGTTTCTGTGCTTTTTTAGTGTTTTTCAGAGATGGCAAGAGACGGCCAGTGGCCGCACGTGTGACAGCGTGTGGAGGAGCGCGTGATGGCACGTGGAGGAGCGTGGAGGTGTGTGAAGGCCGTGCTGTGTTTCGGTGGTTGCGTTTGGTGGTTTTCTGTGCAGTAGTGACTCCTTGTGAGTGATTTTTGCTTTTTGACAATGTTTTTTTTCTCTAGTTAGTTTTTTGGTGCACAGTTTAGGGATTCGAGATGACATCCATAAAGTATAAGATAGAAAAGTTTGATGGTGGTACGAGTTTCAGTCTATAAAATATTATAATGAGATCGTCCCTAGTATTATAAAGTTTGTGAGGGACAATTGAAGAAAGATATCTTGAAGGTATGAGAGAGTTGGAAAAGGAAAGTATGTAGGATAGAGACTTATGTGCGATTTTTATGAGTGCTAATGACAATGTTCTGCGAGAGATTACTGAAGAAATTTCAACTTTAGCTGTGTAGAAGAAATTAAAAAATTTGTATTCAATAAAATCGTTGACGAACCGCCTTTATCTAAAGAAAAGACTGTACAATTTCAGAATGAGTAAAGGTACGCCCATTAAACAACACCTTGATGAGTTTAATTCTTTAATTATGGACATGAATAACATAGATATTAAGATTAAAAATGAAGATCATACATTAATTATTTTGTATTCATTATAATCTTTTTATGAGACTTTTGTTAATACTCTACTGTATGAAAAAACTAGTATTTCACTAGATGATGTTAGCAATGCACTAAAATTGAAAGAATTATAAAGGAAATTTATTGAGTATAAAACAGAAGAGGAAGATTTGGTAAGCAGGGGAAGGACACAGAGAAGTGACAAATCAAAATCTAGAGGTAAAAAGGGAAACTGTTTTGAGTGTTGGGAGAATGGTGACTTTAGGAGAGATTGTTCTATACTGAAGAGAGAAAAAGAGCAGGAGAGCTATGCTAATATAATCGACATGGATAATTTTGATGATAGTGATAACAACAGTATTGAGGTAGTTCTATATGTGAATTCGGATCATAGAAAGAACTCATGGATTCTTGATTCTGGTGCTATATTCCACATGTGTTCATATAGACATTGGTTTACTACTTACAAGCAGATGAGTGGTACCGTGTATATGGGAGATGATAGTTCGTTATCTGTAGCTGGGATTGGTAATATCATATTAAGAATGCTTGATGGTATCATTAGGACTATTGAGTATTGGATGTTCCTCAGATGAAGAGGAATCTGATTTTTTTTTCTACATTGACGACTCAGGGTTATAAATATCATATAGAGAATAATACTCTTAAAGTGTGAAAAGACTTCGAGGTATTCATGGAAAACAATTTAGAATCTAGATTGTATGTTTTTCAAGAAAATATAGTTTTAGGGGAAGCTACTGTAGCATCAGGGAGCAGTAATCAGAATCAGTTGCGGTATCTACGTTTGGGTCATATGAGTGATAAGGGGTTATTTGTTTTGAGCATGCAAAGTTTGTTGAATTGTTATAAAGAATGAGTTTTAAGTTTTTGTGAATACTGTGTGTTTGGCAAACTGATCAGAATAAAGTTCTACAAAAAGGCAGTGCACAAGACTAGAGGTAAGTTGGATCATGTTCATTTTAACTTATGGGGTCCATACAGAGTTTCCTCTAAGAGTGGTGCCAGGTATTTTATGACATTGACTGATGATTACTCTAGAAATCTATGAGTATATTTTCTAAAATTCAAGGAATAGACATTTTCAACATTTGTCAGATGGAAGACCATGATCGATAAGCAGATAGAGAGGAAAATCAAATATCATAGGACTAACAATGGGTTAGAATTTTGCAATCATGAGTTTGATGATTTCTGTAGTACGGAAGGTATAGTGAGACACCATGTGACGCCCAAACAATTGGGCATTTTTGTTATTATATTATTAATTTTATTTATTAAGTTAAAAAAAAAAGCGCCACGTCAGCAGCCACGTCAGCGGCCCAATCAGCAGCCCTGGCCAACCAGGACCTGCCGCGTGGCAAGACCACGTAGACCCGAGGACGGGCCACGTGGGCGATCCGCGTGCGTGCGATCAGACGGCCCAGATGCGTCCCCGCGCGCACGGACGGCCCAGATCAAGCGTGCGCACGGACGGCCCAGATGCAATTGCACGGACGACCCAGATTCAATCAAAAACGGACGGTCCAGATTTAATCAAAATGGACGGCTGAGATCAAAAGGCAAAAAGGTATAAATAGAACCCCCACACCTTACCACAAAAACCCTAGCCGCCTGCCCTCGCCGGAGAAGACGAACCAGACGCCGGAGGAGCCGGCCGCCGCCACCCGCCGCCGCACCGGGGAGATTTTCGACCGCCGATCGAGGTAAATTTCATATCCCCGACTCGTTTTTTCACGCTGAGTTCCCCTGTGGCCAAATCGGAGCCAAAATCCCGGCCAAACGGTTGGAAAACATGGCCGAAATCCAGCGGCGCTGCCGCGCCCCTCCTCAGTTTTTGCCTCCGATGAGGCCCTTCTCGGCCTCCGTTTGATGCAATTTTTATATCACCGTGATCACCATTCTTTTCTCTACAGGTTGATCGGAGCCGAATCACCAAAACACGAACCTCGCCGGAGAGCCGCCGCACCCGAGAGCACCGCCGCCGGTAAGCTTCAATTTTTCGTAATTTTTTGGCCCCCCGAGGGCCCTAGGGTTGTTTTATCACAGGGACCGATGTAAGTGTGGCTGAATTCGGCCGGAAATGGCCGAAAACGGCCAACCCGAGGCAAATCGCCGTCGCCGGAGCACGGCGGAGCCGCTGTGCCGGAATTGCGATACTGGCCGAATGGGGCCATGGGTCTAATTTGGGATTTTTTGGAACACGTGCAGGTACCAGTAGTGCGTTTCAGTTCCCCGGAAAAAATTCAGGAAAAATTAGGGACAGCCTGTAGGCGCACTGTGAAGCCGTGTTCGGACCCCGAAACTTGTAAGGACCCCTCACCTTATTTCCTATCACGGTATTAAAGTTCAATAATGATAAAACGGTATTTCTTGAATCAACGAATGTGTGAAATTGCTTAAGGTCGCTAATGGAGCCCGAGTCTAGTGTGTTTGTCGGTTAACTGTTATTTGGCCTATTTTACAGTTTTAAATGTAGTATGAGGTCTGATGTTTTTATTTCATAGTTTCATGTGCATATTTTACTGTTTTATTGATTATGGGTTGAATGACTGAGAACCCGATATTGTATGTTGTCTTGTTTGGCATAAATTACTGGTTTGCTTGTCTGTGTGTGAATTGATAATGCTGACTGAGGAAAAGGGGAATGAAAAGTTATGTAGATTGATAATTGTATAATGTGGTCAGCCTGACTAGATATCCTGGGAGATAGTGGACGGACCGGGTCCGTAGGGAACCCTACCGGGATTGTGGTCTCTCATACCGGACGGGGTATGGAGACTTTATGTGTTTTGGCACCCATACCGGACGGGGTATGGGGACGGCCCGTTTCACCCTCATACCGGACGGGGTATGGGGACGACCCGTTTCACCCTCATACCGGACGAGGTATTGAGGTTTATAGTTTTGGCGCCCATACCGGACGGGGT